CTGGAGTACACACTGGATGTTGTGAAGCTTGAGCCTGAGAAAGAGAGAGCTTAAGTAAAACAGTGCCAGAGGAAAGTTAAAGTATATAAAGTGATTAACAAGAGAGGAGGACAGAGCTGTGATGCTGCAAGAGTTTTCATTGCTTCCAGTGTTTGAAGAGAGTGCGAAGGCGTTATGTTGTGACACAGTGAGGCTGCGGCTTGCCTTGGCTGGGGTATGAGTAGTGCAGCTGGCCGGGCTGGGTGGAGGTATATGCGGTGCTGTAGCTGAGAAACCCAGGCTGGCCACCAGAGGGCGCCTCAGGCAGCCCTGTCTCAGTTTTAATGCCTGGCCACATAGCACCTGAAGAGGAAAGAGAGCAATGGAAGCAGAAAATGAAGGAGGCGGCGCGAGGAGTGGATCAAAGTTCAGAAACCAGGTCCATCGGTCAGGATGTTTAGGCAGAGATCAAAAGCAAATTGATTCCAGAGCGCCAAAGCAGAGTAATAAAAAGGTGGTGCTAGGTTTTTAGTGAGCAGAGAGTTAAAATAGGCTTTAGACTAAGAGCGGGACTAACCGAAGGGCGGGAGGCCGTAGGTCTGGCCTGTCTGAGGGAAGGCAGAGTACACAGTGGACTGGGCCAGAGGAGGGAAGGCCACCTGGTTGGTGTATGACGTCGCTGCTGGGCTGAGAGAGAAAGAGAGGAAATCAGTAGAATCAAACTAGGCAAACCTGCAGGTGGTCAAAAATATATACATCTCTACCTACTAAGTGAGACAGTTTCAATCCTCATTTTCTCACTATCTTAACACCAGTTACAACAACGTGTTCTGCTCTCTTCTCTCCGACAGCGCCCATACCGCCAACTGTTTTTACCTGGGCTTTTTTTTTCTTCTTTGGAATGTTTAAGATTGTTTTTCATTAATGTAAAAACAAGTTGAAATCATTTTTGCTAATAAGAAAAGGAAAATTATCATTGTTTTGTTATTGCCTTGTTTTAATAATCTTTTAACCAAACATTTTAAATGTCATGCTTTGTGGCGGTGTCAATCTTCCCATGGTCTTGACATCTTAGTAAATATAACATTTTTCTCAACATACTGATACCACAAATAGGCAGTAACCAAGAAAGCCTTGGATCTATTATTGGGGTCAAGACTAAATGTGGTTCATGCAAATCAGCCCTGGAAGTAATTCAGGAATTATAATAGAATCCTATAGCTTAAGGCTAGTTGGATTCAAAACTCTTTAAAGTCTTTCAGACTAAATTTAAGACAAACATAAAAAAACAAAATGAAGGCATGTTGGTTGAACAACCAATTGTCATTTCTTTCACACTTCCCCGTGTTTTTCACTTCAGGAAAATGATCTTGTCAATAAGAATTAGAATTGAAATTGCAAGATCAGAATGTATTTTTTAAATCCACTTCCAATGTCTTTACTGGAGGTAAAGATATTCAACAGATATAATTAAGACCTTTTAATGCTAATTAAACCCTTTTTTATCTAATTTCTTAAAGGAGGTGATGCAGGAACCTTTTATAAAGAAAAGGGTGCATAAAAGCAGAAGATTTCTGTTAAAGGAACAACATACGCATGCTGCTCAGAGTGGTCTCTTCTGTCGAGACCTCCCATTTGTCTTGAAAGTATGTGTAGGGAAAGCCGCACAACAATACTTGCTGCAGAAGAAATAAAGTACACACCTCTACTGTTCGTAGTAATGTACAAATAAATATATAGATTTAGATTCATATTAATACTTACTTAACTCTATATAAAAGGCCTTTATAGCCAGAATAGATATTTGCGGTTGCTTACAAAGAAGGTTATTAGTAAGAAATTAAATTGGAATCATAAAGTCTGACTCTAAAAAAAATAGAATTTTTCAAAAGAAATACTGCAATAGGTGCATCACCACTAGGGATGGGTATCGTCAGGATTTTATCGATACCGTTACCGGTACTGCTTATCGGTATCGGTATTTTTCGATACTCTTATCGATACTTTTCAATAATTTGGTGCTCAAAATTAAAGACATGAATACAAGATGTGAAGATTAAACAGTAATTTTATTGTAATTTCCTTGCAGAAATAACTGTTGATTTTGATTCCAAATAAACAAAGGAAACCCTGAAAAGTGTTATAAAGGCTCACTTGCTAGACTGTGCGGTACTGATGGACAGGGGC